TTGAGTTGTCGGCTGAAGTTGGACAGTTCCAACCCAGTACTTCGTCTAATACAAACATGTGCAATGATTGAACCTTGAATCCTCGCATTGCATTCGAGATGTCAAACCACACTGCCGGCAATTCCGCCCTAAGTGGTCTGAAGCTCTCCACTTCTATTCCTCGATTCGGAGCAGATGTGATAACATCATATTTCTATTCCGAGAGCAACGCCACCATCGCATATACAAACTTCAGCCCATCCGGGAGATGAGCATATCCCGGAGACAGTGCAAACACAGCTTTCGGTGTTATCTTTGGGAATGCCCCTTCTTTCAGCGTGTCCTATATTTCACCCATCGGTTCGAGGATATCCTTTATCGCTCGCCATAGTCCGTCCTCTGCCGTTGTAGGCTCTCTGAGTCTGCTCAGGAAACCTTTACTGTGTAGATGGTCATTTATGCAGGCAATTACGATCGTGATCGAGTTCATTTTCGTTCGTCGCTGTATCCCGATTGCCATTGACACCGACTGCATTAGGTCCAGGTCGATCGCTGCCAGAATTATAACATCAGGCCAAAACAAAAATTTGGAGTTATGCACAAAATCTGAGTTCGCGACTATCAAAATCTTTGCTTTTCTCATTTCCACTTTATCATACACTGCAAAGATAGTCTCGTCCTTCCTAATCATCTTCATCCCATCTTGTCTCTCAACATCGCCTTTTCGACCCACCTGTATCGGGTACGCTCTTTCTTTCACATGACATGAAAGTGCTCGTATTTGCTTGAACATTTTCACATGTTGTCCCATTGGTGCCCTCGTTGTCAAGAATCTTCCGGGTCTTTCTTCTCAATTTCCTTCACCATGATTCATTTTCACGTCCTGCAAAGGTCTTGCATTTACTGGACCCATTGTGTTGTTTGAGGGCAGTCCCTCTAAATCGGAGGCGAATCTTAAGGCGGTCGTGGAGTTGAAGTTAATGCAAGCTGCTATCAACCAGTCCACAACTGCGGTTGAGTGCAGTCCCTTGACGGATAGCCTCGCTCCATTCAGCATTCTTATGGCATCGGCTGTAAACCTTACCGTCTGAGGGTTCAATTTCATCAGGTCCTGCTTATAGACATGTCAGTGGGAAGGTATGAGCCTCGACCACATCAAAGAGCTTCTGTCTGGTCGTCGTTCGTCTCGGCTGGTACTCGTAGTTTCCGATCTAGTCTCCAATCTGGTTTCCGATCTCGTTTCCAATCTCTTTTCTGGTCTCGAGGTACCTGTTGTCTCCGTAGTCGGGTTGACAGGTCCTAATTTTCGCCGTGGATGAATAGTTCTTCTTACTGGCGCTTCTGCCAATCGGTCCATTACGTACATTCTTTGCCCTGGCTCGCTGGAGCTTTGCGGCCTGTAGGTCACGGCTGGGACCGCTCCCAGACGTGTTTCTAGGTTGGGGTGCACGAAGGTTGAGAGTGTCGGCTCATTCGTCATTTCTTCTTTCTTTAGTACTCCCGTGTCAAAGAGCTTGACCTAAATTTCGTCCAGTCGCTCCGGGAAGACTCGGTTCATCTAGGCTTGTCCTTCTATACTATCAAAGTGCATTCCATCGGTGGTAAGTCTGGCCTGATCCACAGCTCTGAGCTCGTGTTCAATATCCATGAGGATCAACCGTCCAGCATTACGACTCAGTATGATTTCTCAGTATGTTGTTCCACCTGATGGCTCCTTCGTTATGCCTCCTTCCCGCCGATGTCAACGTTCTCGTGCTCATCGGTACGGTGCACACGGTCAGTACCGCGCACTTGAACTTCTGCCAGAGAGAAGTGAATAGGCACACCATCATAGATTCACATTGTGCCTCTTCCTCATCTGAACGTCTGGACACATTGTTTGTCTCTATTAGGATCATTATGTTAGGGATTCTTCCTGGGTTCATTAGCTCCACCATTCGATATAGCTGGGCTATTGTGGCACCTCCAAAGGCCATCACCGTGGTGATCCAAGAGGTCCTCAGGTTTTGGAGAACTCTCACCAAACTGACACCCAGTATCAAATGAGATGTCCCGAGTGGCAGTCGTTGTATGTTTATCGCCGGATCCAAGTCGATCGATTAAAACAGGCTCGCGGATCCGCGTCCGAAATTCCTGTGAAGTTATTGTTCACCTGGTTGTTCTAGTGCACATCAAATACTCGGGACACTTTCTTCATCGGCCTTCCTTATTTTTCTCTCAGTGGCTCCAGAGCTCTTTAATGGTAACGTGACACTGTCAGCTCCCGTTTTCTTTATCGTTTCTTGGGAGAGCTCCAATCTGCATGTGTCGTCGATTCTTCCATAGGGTACAGTCACCTATTGGTAAAACCTGTCGCTTTCTTGCCCTGTTTGTAGGTTGATCATGTTGACACATGATGGTCAATCGAACTGCAATTTGCACAAGAGCATCTCTTGTCCATATCGTCCCTTGGTTTGTACCAATTGTTACCCTTGTTAGCTGGTCCATTGTTAAAATTGCCATAATTGTTTTTGTAATGGCCAGATCTCGTTGGAAACTTTAGTAAAAAATATTCCTTTGACTTGAGTCTCAACTCATCTGGTGTTGGCGCATTGGTTGAAAGTGGTGTGTAATGTGTCGCTAACATCGTTCATCCTTCTGTTTGACTCATCTGGTTGGCTACGCCTTCTAAGCATTTCCAAGTCATCTAAAAATTTGTGTACTGTCTCTTCTTCACGTTGTCTCCGTTTCTCGAAGCGCATCATTGCTTGGTGTCTATGTACCCCTGAGCCAAAACGATTGAAAAACATTTCAAAGATTTTCTCAGCAGTGTCTCGCTGGTAATGTTTTTTGGCCATCACGCAGTTTAGGGTTGTCCCTTTCAGGTTACTGCTGAGCGCACTGCATTCTTGTCTTTCTGTCAAGTCCTCCTCTTCAAAATGCAGTTTCATTATCTCTATCCAGGTATCAAAACAGCCATCAGATTCGTCTTTAAAGCATCTTGGTTTCTTAAAAACCCTCCTGGATTTTTCACTGAGTTCACTGGTTCTAGACAACCTCGTTAGGAATGTTTCCAAGGACCTGCTCAGAGGTTCACAGGCAGTGGCCATTGATGTTGCGTCCCTTGAATGCCCTGCTTGAGCATCATTGCCCCCTGATAGAGGCTCTGGGTTTTCCCTTGTGTTCGAATCGCTCGGATGTCTTCTTCCTTAATTCACATGATTCCAGTTCATGGAATCACATCTCCCAGTCGCATGTGTGCCTTACGTCGGTCGTTCGTTTGAGGTCGGTCTGTTGCCAGTTGAACTCCCTCTGATGTTTGAGCCCCTTGGTCTATTGTCCCCTGTGGCGTAGCTGGATGAACTGCCCCTTCCTCTAGTGGATCCATATGTCCTTCTTCTATTGAATTGTTCATTGAAGTTCACTCTCGGCTCCCTGCTGGGTTCTCCTGAATTTGTTTCCCCATTCTTTGATCCACTCCTGTTTCCTAGGAGCCCATCAAACGTAGACATGATAGCCTGAGTTCGTCTCTCTACCATCTCGTCTATCTTCGTGTCAAGGGTCCCAAGAGTCTGCTCTTGCTAAATTCTCAACTTCTCCATGCCATCTCTCAAGCGTAACTCTCTTTGCTCAGCTTCCCTCGTCAATAGCGACAAGTTTTTGGCCAAGTGTTTATCCGTTCTCTCCTTCAAGCGTTTTTCGCTTCTGCTAACTTCTTTTCTGTTGCGGTTGATATCTTCCCGCAGGCTTTCTCTCTCGACGTGGACTGCCCTTTCTAGTTCACTCATTCTTAAGGACATATGTTCATTCTGTTCTCCTATGCTGTCCACTATGTTGGTTAAGGCTTCTTCGATTGATGCTCCGTTGTCCACTAAGGGCTTCACAAGTGGTGGTGTCACCCTATCGGTTCCAGGTAGCTTGGTGCTGGTCGAGACTCGAGTCTTATTTCTCCGTCTCGATGTCTCTTCATAAGCCGCTTCTGGATCCGGTGGTGGGTTACATAGCCCTGTGTTTCTGTTCTTCCCAGTTCGCATTTCCGAATTCGTCATGGTTACAAAGTCTCCTGACTGGCCTGATCCATTTGTGGTCTTGCTTATTGTCCTGATCACACCAAATCGTTCCATAGAGCCAGTCTCTCCATTGGTGTATGCATCATTCTTCTGAATCGAACTATTGAGGATTACTTAAGATCCGAAGTCACCTTGCTCGTCATCGTCCTCCTCCTCTTCCTGGGTTTCTGCCTCTTCTTCTGTGCCCGTTCCCATGGTAAATGGAAAAAAGTTTCCCAAAGTGTTCTTCGCTCTTTCTGAAAACGAGGAGGACGTTGCCGGTTTCTCCGTCACCCCATGGTAAATGGTCTAGTTTTTCCAAAAACCGTTCCGATGTCTTTTTCAAATGAGACACAAGTGCCGAATAAGTTGCCCAGTTTTATCCGCGAATCTCCGAGAAAGGATGGGAAATATCTCATAAATGGGATCTTCGTTTCGCAATCTTCGACTTGATACTTTGATATAACGAAACAAGGTTGCTTCGTCAAAAGAAGATCTCAAGAAATGGCCTGGGTTGGGGTCGTAGACTTATTATGCAAAAACTGCAATTAAAAATGGTTACTTTGCTACAATGTTTAAGCTGTTCTCTTTGCTTGAATAATTTTTATTTAATCATAGTATAATTCACATGGCTTGGTTTCTAAATTTTTAGGGCACGGTTTTGGGCAACAAAAAAGTTACATTGGTACTATGTGCAGTCCTTATCTCGGTGGTCCTGCATATGATCATTAATTAGGGTGATCTAGGTATATGCACTTTAAAAATACAAATATATTAGATTATTTTGCAATTTGCATCTGTATTACGTTTTGGCATCCAAAAAATCAAAAAAAAATTCTATTACTAAAACTATACGAAGCCTTTTGTAATCCGCGACCCATGTTGCGACTTTGAGCGACCCATCATTAGCTATGTTGCGACTTGCGCGACTTAAACTTCTTGCGGGAGAAGGGAATTTCGGTAGCAGAAAGTCTATTTTGGCTACCCAATTCAGTCGCAACATGAGTCGCGGATCTCGGCACGGGCTAATAAATATCCAGTTAGAAAAGCGATTGTGAATAATCATTTAAAATGTCCATTAAAACTAGCTCATATCTGATATGTTGAGTACCATCAAATTCATTACCACATTTTTTATAAAAGCAAACTCTGATTTTAGCAACAATTTTTGCAAGCTTATTTAGCGATGAGATAAATAAATAGGACGAGGAGGCCGAGGCCGAGTGCGACAGCTCCGATCAGAAGTAGCAACATCTTCTTGTCTTTCCAGTAGTATTTTCGGTTCACTTTTCGACTGGTGGTCGCGAACTGGCTCGAACCCTGCTCCAGGGCAGCCGCTCTGTTATCCAGGTCGTCTAGCTTAGCCCCTCTTTCCCAAGCCTTGTCTGCATTTTGCTGTAACGAATTATGCGAATATTTTACAAGAAAAACAAGTTTCGATTCATATTTCAGTTTAAAAAATTTTCAGCAAAATCAAGCGAAATGTTCTTTAATTTTACATCAAGCTGCAACATATTGATACACAATGACTTCAATTGTGACAAAGGGGCGTTAGTTTTTTTTCTCATTGAACACAAATTCTGGTTAGTTCTTGTTTTTGATTTAATCTGCTTCTGATGCATGGTTATTCAGATATCTGAATAACCACGAAAAAGCCAAAAAGTTTTACATGAGTTCGGCATATAATGTTTCGCGGATCAGTTGAAAGTACATGCGAATGAATTAAACTTCGTAACACAGGCAGTGCCTTTTGGCATGCGAAGTTTTCGCTCTTTACAACCATAGGCGAACATCAATTTTTGACCCCCCTGCCGACCTAAAGGTGTACTATTTTCAGATATCCATATTTGGTGACGGACCCTAAAAATTTTCTTAAGGCGCCTTGGGTGCCAGTATATACTAATTTCGAGGGGGGAATGCGCGCCAGTAGTATTGTATCGTGTCCCGGATCCTAAGGGGGGGGTCCTTCCTAAGGGGGGGGGGTCCTCACGTAAAGCAAAATCCTAGGAAAGGGGTCCTTAATTTTTTGGAGGACCCTCATCCTAGGATTTTGTAAACGAAAGAGATTTTCCACCCAAAAAGCAGAAGACCCCCTACTTAGGATCTTGCTAAGTTTAGCTTAACAACAAGGGACACGATACAAAAATCTTTCTAATTCCAAATTTTGGGGTCCTAATTATTGGTCCTGATTAATTATATGAATCATATTAATTGTTATGCTTGTTTAGGGTAAATGAACTTTCGACCTAGTTGAAATTTGTTAGTGAACGGGGAATTGACTTTTATGGTATATAATAAAAATTCGCCGGCCATTTTGGCAGCGTAGCTTAACTGTTGGCAGCAGTAAACTAATTCCTTAACTTGACCTAAATTTTATGGTGAAAAGGCAGTAAATTGAAATTACTCTCAAAAGGCGGCGGCCGTTTCTGGGCAAAATATACCAAATGATAAAATTGTCAAATTTTGAAATAAGAAAAATGAAATTAGAGGGAACTTGGTGTACTGAAGATATTGATAATGAACATTTACAATTAAGAGTGTTTTCAACCGCAGAAAAAAACTCATTTTTCAAATTATGTAATGAACGCTACGTCGTCTTCCTCGAAAGGGCAAAGGAAATTTCAAAGAAAGAATACGAGTTGATTTTCAAAGAACAATTTTATTTGAGTGAGCTTCAACAAATCTCTTGGTGCATTTCTACAAAACAAAAGTATGGCACTGTGAGCGATTTGAATATTGCTGATTATGAAAACGTTTTCGACTATTCGTTTGACTTTAACTCATTATGGGTTGATAAAGACTTGGAGAGAAAAATCCGTCTATGTTTCAACAAGCTATCAAAATACAAAAAACTTCCGGTGGTTTATTTAATTATTTACCACCGTTATCTTAATGAGTCTAAATGGTATTTGCAAGGTCACTTTTATTTCCACTGGCTTGAAATTCAGCAGGTTGGAGAGGTGTTGGAAAAAATAAATAATGAAATTGCAAAAAAGCAGAGTAACTCCTATTGATTTGAAAATAATTCACGAAATTTATACGTCTTTGAAACAAACTTATCCTGATAATTCTAACCGACGCAACTATTTTCTAGCTGCATGTTCTCTGTTTTTTGTTAGTTCTGATAACCTTAACTACGACATTTTAATTAAGTTGAGACCTTATGGTGGCTTGATTGGTATTGATAACTCTTCCTTGGACAAATATTTGAAAAATTCCAAAATTTTACGATTGCACGCTATTTTGCACGATGCGGCCGGATTTATACACGAATTTTATCAACAGGGTCCCACGTACTGTTACATGTTGCCCTGGAACTGTAACAACAGCTTATTGGGACATTTGAGTGGAATAGCGTTCTGCCTTTTCATTAAGTTGAAAAAACCAGAAGTTTATCATTTACTAGAATGCTAGGCGAGAGATCAGTTGTGCTTGACGTGGAAGGCTTTCGTTACAAGAAAAACGCCTTTGTGGTTAAAGAATTAGCAATAACAACTTCAGACTACAGCGATCGACTCATTTTCCTACCTCCAGTGAATTTCAATATACTACCAAAGCTTGAACAAAAAGCTTACAACTGGTTAACTAATTATTTACACGGTCTCCATTGGGAAAACGGTGATTATCTTTATATAAACTTGAATCAAATACTTCAGAGTTTTGTGCTGAGAAATCCTGGTGCCGTTTTTTACGCTAAAGGAAAAGAAAAGACAGAATTTTTGGCCAAGTACTTGGACCGAAAGATTGAAAACCTAGATGATTTGGGCTGTCCTCGGGTTGAAAACTTATATTTTAAAAATTATCCAAGTTGCAATAAACATATTCCACATTACAACTCCAGGAATCATTGTGCCTTGAAGAAAACCAAGGTTTTTTATGATTGGTTGAAAAATGAACAACAGCGAGAGATCAGCGAAAGTGGAGACATACCTATCACAAAATTCAATGCTTTGTGCGTGGATGACTCCAGAGGGTGATATTAAAATTTCATTAACGAGAATAGAGCGTATTGATTGCAGTGGCCAAATTGTTCAGAGGAAGGAGCAAATAATAATTTCCGAAGAAGAGTTGTCTACGTTGAAGAGGTTTTTTCCAGTTATTGATCAATTTGTATACTTCCAGAGATTCAAGTTTATCAGAAATGTTAGCCAGCAAGCGAGGAGTATGTCTTCCCGAACTAGTCTTAGTACCCAAACGTCAGCCAGGAGTTCAGATGGATCTAAACAGCAGTGAATTGCCAGATGAGATTAAGACGATTGTGAAAGAGGATACTGTGAAGAAAATAATGTACTACAAAAAAACCGCAAATATCCCAGCAAACTTTGTTTTAGAAATGCATGACATAAATGATAGAGATTTCACACGTTATGAAATTTTTTACTGTTCTCAAAAGTAATTTAATTTTTTACAAGCTTCATTCGCAGAGAGAAAAAGTCTAACGCAGTCTGTAGAATAAATAGTTTCTCAAATGTCAGAAGCAACAACAGCAGTAGATGAACCTGACGCAACATTAGTAACAGAGTTTGTTTATAACGAGACAAACAGTGAAAAAAAATCATGGAAGTTTTGTAACAATGTAACTTTGCCAAGGTCTGAAGTAGTTTTTGTTGCGCAAATGGTAGTAATTCTAATTTTACTAACTTTCTGCATTCTCAAACTTTCTTTCACTAAATTAAGTTGCGAAGAAACGTCAGTTTGGTTCTCGATTTTATCAGGCTTGGTTGGTTACGTACTACCAAACCCAAGAATATGAATAAAGTGATTGATACTTCGACAAGAATTTTTATGGCGATAGTGGGACCTTCAGGATCCGGGAAAACTGAGTTAATTTTGAAACTTCTGATGGGAAATACTTTTTACCCTAAATTTGGAACCGTTCTATATCTTTACAAAGAGATGCAACCTGCATTCTCAGAAAAAGTGTCTTCTCGCGAAGTGAATATGGAGTTCATGAAATTCGACGGATTCGAATCTGTGAGAAAATTAGAAAATGTTCTTCTAGTTTTCGATGATTCATGTGAAGACATCTATAATGACAAGGAATTTGTTAGGTTAGCGACAGCGGGTAGACATAGAGGGATAGATGTAATATATGTTAAGCATAACTTGTTTCAACAAAGTCGATGGTCGCGTACGATTGATTTGAACACTTCACACATCATTCTGTTCAAATCGCCTCGCGACGTTCAGCAACTAGATCTATTAGGAAGACAATTGAATGTATCAAAATTTTTGAGAAACTGTTACGAATTAGCTACCAGAGACTCTTTTGGACATCTTCTAATCGACTTGGACCCCCGTACATCAGATTGTTTGAGATATTGTTCAAATATCACACCACCTGGGCCAACAGTTTTTTATTTACCCTTATCTGAAGCAGAAACTACTCCAATCACAAATGAAAAAGAAAAACTTATCTATTCTGCGGCATATGGTACAACTGAAACCTGACTAGCTAAGAAGATTAATTAGAAAAACTTCAAATCGTGAGATCATAACACTTGTTTGTGAATGTTTGCTCAATGTAGTCAATGGAAACGTACCCGTTAAAATCGCAAACATCGAACGATTCGAGACAGCATACAAATACTTATTAACTCCAAAAACCAGTGTTGTCAAAAAACGTGCGATTATTTTGAGTAAAGAAGGCTTCCATTTAGTTCGACAAATACTTTATTTTTGTTACAAGTACCTCACAACTTAATGATGACTGCTGAAGAATTCATTCTAATTCCGAAACATTTATATGTTAAAGAGCAGCCACATGCTGCACGTGTTCTTCATGATAATAATATTAAACATAAAAATGCTCAACTGTCCTATCTTAACCGGCTTAGACCCCAATTACCTCCACAAACTAGTAAGACTACTGCAACGAAGGAAACATTTACGGATAATGTTGAGCCCCAACAAGAACAGCTTAAACTGTTAACGGACGATGAAGAAGTACCGGTCGAACGTGTTAAAGACGAAAATCTAGAAGAGAAACACAATAGACAGACCGAAAGCATTTTAGGACAGTTACAAGTTTTAGAAGACAAAAAATTTGTTAGAGCAAAAACCGTACTTGAAATTATAGAAAATTCAGAAAGAGTAACCATAAACCATGACAATGAGGTGATATATGTAGATAAAGTACCAACAGGACTTAAAGCTACAATATTTTTATACGACATACAACAACCAACGAAAAAACTACACAATCCGGCGTTCATTAACATTTTAACTGCTCTCAACTTGAATGAAAACCTGGTAATAAATCGAAATGCCAAACACGCGGTTCAGTCAGCGTCTTTTAACGCTCAAGAGAAACGAGAACCCGGACCCTCAAGAACCCGCTCAACATCGCCCACTTGGCAGGAAAAAAGTAGTGCAAACCTTAAGAGAAGTAAAAA